CACATACATAACAATCTCCTGGGAGTAGGCCAGTGCGTTTATTTCATGTGCAATTTCCAGCTACTCTGCTCTCTTGGCACTTCACGGAGAGCTTGTTTTGTTGTTTGTTGTTGTTAGGTTTGCTTGTTTGCTTCCCTTGCTGGGGATTTGAACCCGTGCCTTGCTTATGCTGGCAAGTGCCTGCCCATTGAGCCATACCTGTAGCCTCTGTAGCTAAAAGAGCTTTGTCTGTGTCATGTCCCTTAACGTTATCACGACTGGCTAGACAGATGGTGTTCCAGTGGCTTGATGGGGCTAGGGACATGTTCAGGGTCACAGCAGCAAAGCCTCAACACACAACTGCCCTAGCAGAGTGGTCCCACCAACACGGATAGCCAGTGCAGGAGGGACATGGCTCCCACATTCGCCTTTCTGCTTGGAGCTGCACCTAGACAGGATGTGTGAACATGGTAGAACCTGTTGGCTCACCTGAGTCTACCCCTTCACTCATCCATTCCACAAGCATGAATCCAGTTCCGACTGCCATGCATCTGGCCTGTTCAAGAACCTAGAAAGACAATGTAGCCCTGTCTGGACAACGACTGAATGGGTTGTCATTATGTAGGAGACAAGCCGTTTTAAATGACAGGTTCAGAAAACCTTCCCTGGTAATGCTAATTTGTCTTTGTGGGAAAAAAAAAATCCCGGCAGTGGTTTTTACAAGAAACATCCTTCTCCTGCAACCCTCTGACAAAGATTTGTGTAGCATTAATCCTTTCCCAAGGCCTTCAAGAACCCACAGACTGTGGCCTTGTGACACCATATGCCTTAGCAGGCACACCGTGCTCCGTGGAAACCATTCCTCTTATATAACCTCCCTCTAGAATCCAAGTCTTCACGCTTACGCAAATCATCAATTTCATTTTTGAGCATTGAGCTGCATGCTCTGTTTTCCTCTCTCTGCTCCCTTCCACCCTGTTTCTAAATCCAGACTGTGAATCCGTGTATGTAGGGTGACAGAATATATGTGGTATAATTTTAATTCGGCCGCTCAATCTCATGCTTCCCGAAACCCAGGCCACCTGGAAATGGTAGGCTGGGTTTCAGCAGCTCTAAGGGACCAGTGTCTAGTCTCTCCCTTCGACTCTTCCTCCCTCACCCCCTTCTTTCTTCTCTTTCTTCTCTTTCCCCTCTTTCCCGTGTCTCTCTTTCTACCCTCCCCTCTCTCCTCTCCCTCCTCCTTCTCTGCCTCTGCCCTGTTAGAAATTATAGTACATTTTCAAAATCCATTCAGTAATTTCTGGCTAAACAAAGCTTAGAGGATTCTGAGGGAGGCTTGTTGACCTGTGCAATTGTTCCTCAGGGCTCCCAGGGCTCTCACTTAAACATGAGATCTATCGCCTCCAAGTCTTGAAGAGAGCAAAAGCTGTAGGAAGTAGGCAGCTGACAATCTGATGTTCGGAGGAAGACAACAGCACCTGTCCTAGCGTACGTGGGTTGACAGGGGCCAAACTGGTAGGGAACTGGTCCCAGGGTTGTGAGCTCTCAAGTCTCTGGCCTTTGTCCTGGCCATCCTCCAACTATGTTTGACCTTGAAGCTGTACCTGCAGGGCAGGGGAGGAACCGGATGTTTCCCTAGGCAGTGCCAGGCTCTTTGCCAGCGCAGAGCCCTGTTGCCATCCCAGGCGGGTACTCTCCTCATGCTGGAGTACCCGGCACAGTTGACCTGGACCTCAAACGGGACCTGGGGAAGTTTTGAGCTACCCGAGGGCAGTTCATAAGAAGTGAATGCCAGGTGGGGAAGTCCCCTTTTTCCTAAATGACCCCTGACTTTGGGGTATGAACACTCCTACCTCGCCAACAATTACAGGTTGCAGGTTGAAATCCAGGGCTTGTCTGATCCTCAAGGAGTGGTGGAGTCTCCTCACTCAGAGTGAACTTGCTGGCACACACAAGTTCATTGAGTGCAAAATCTCTTTCTACCTGGCCCTTCCCATCCCATCCCATCCCATCCCTTCTCTTCCCTTCCCTTCCCTTCCCTTCCCTTCCGTTTCCCCTTCCTTCCTTCCTTCCTTCCTTCCTTCCTTCCTTCCTTCCTTCCTTCCTTCCTTCCTTTTTTTCTTCCTTCTTTGCCTTAAACTTTAATTCTCCTGCTCCATCTTCCTGAGTACTGGAATTACAAATGTGCACCAAAACATCCAGCCCCACATAACCTAAAATCTCTTTCTAAGGCAGCCCAGAAAACCCTGAGTGAAATAGACACACACCACCCAGAGCTGGTTCCAGTACTGGATCAGGTAGGTGCTGTGAAGCCAGTTGAGCTAGCTGGAGGCCACCTAGGAGAAACAGGACTTTGACAGGCAGAGCCAGGCTCAACGAGATGTGTCCAGTGGCAGAGGTGCTTATGAAGATCCCCAGCACTGGGTTCTACAGACTTGAGGGCAGGAAAATCGAGGCCTGTCCACTACACGCAGACAGGGTGTCTAGTCCAGGGCAGCAGTTAATCCAGAACACTCCCGTCCTACTGCTGTTGAAGATGGGTGGCCACTTCACTGGCCAGGTTTTTGTTTTTGTTTGAAGAGAAGGTAAAAACTAAATTTTTAACACATTGGCAATGACTTTAGTTATTTTTAAATACTGTGTGGGCCCAAACAGTATAAGCTACAAGAAATGTGTGCACACTCCACTTGGCTACGGGGAAGATTCTGCACAGGGCCATATGCGCTTCCGAGGGCGACTGAAACTTCATATTCCCAACTTTAATGACCAGAATGACTTATTCAAGCCAGCCCATACAGCCAACCCATTCAAAGTAAGAGCCAAGTTCAGCACTGTCTTCACCCTCCTCATATTTCAGGCCACTATCTTTTCCTCTTTTCTCTCTTTCTTGTTTATTTATTATGCATCCTTATTTGTGAGGCACAATCTCACTCTTTAGCCCAAGCTGGTCTTGAACACTACATAGTCTCCTGGCTCAGTCCCCCATTAAGTAGGCACCTTAGCCATTTTCCCAGGGTTTGAGATTTACCCTACCCACAAGTGCTGAGACTGTAGATTCAAGTACCATAGTCAACCTCAGGCCCTTATCTTTACCCTAAGACAAATTCCATTATTTCTTTCTCTTTGTTCTACACAAGCTCGAAGATGTTGCAAAGCTACCCCAGGCCAGTGTCTCAGCAGAGGCAACACGAGACTCCAGGGAAAACTTTGACACCTGGCCACTTAGACAGGGATATTCCAGGTAGATTCCAAGATGCTAATTTTTTAAACATATACAGACACCCTTGGATGAACTTCTTCATGTCTCTGACTCTGCTTTAGTTCACTATGGAAAACTGACATAGTGCGATGAAGGCCCAAAGTGCATGACCATCCCTCAAACATCTCACACTCCAGCGTCCTCCTCTGCCCAATCGCTCGAGCATGTCTACAACCTTCTCCTTGGGCACCACTCTCTGTGCCAACCAAAGTGCCAAGTGAATCCCCAGATGTGTTTGTCCTCCACCCCCCACCCCGGCACTTAACACCCTCTAGCTGAACCTTAGATTCCCCAGGGACACGGGACTGAGTGGAACAAGTAGGTCATTTTATGTCGTTGAGTGATATGGATGCAGAGCCCCCAAACAAGGAATGTTCCAACATGAATGCCATAGTACCAAGTCGCACACTGTTCATTCATTCATCTTTCCTTCTTTAATGTTCAGCATGCTGTAACTGATGATCCCAGCGGCCCCGTCCAGGACTCTCCTGAGGAATACTGCTGATTGTTCAGCATTGGGGCTCGCTCTCCTCTGCTGGTGCTGACTTGGAAGCAAAGGTATTTATTCAGCATAAAAGGAAATATTTGAAAGCGCAGAGTGAGTTTTAAAAGCAGCAGGACTGGACAGACAACTTTCCCGAGTGAGAAGACATCTTTCTCTGTACTGGGTGCCCCCCGGCTATTGTGACCAGAGAATCAGGGCTACATGGGAACTTAGTACTAAAAAGTGCATGGTGGGAGTTAGAGAAGCAATAGATTGAATGATACAAGTGAGACTTTCTTTCTCTCTCTCTTTCTTTCTTTCTTTCTTTCTTTTTTTTTTTTTTTTTTTTTTTTTTGGTTTTTCAAGACAGGGTTTTTCTGTAGCTTTGGAACTCATTCTATAGACCAGATAGACCAGGCTGGCCTTGAACTCACAGAGATCCACCTGCCTCTGCCTCCTGAGTGCTGGGATTAAAGGCGTGCGCCACCACCGCCCAGCTAAGTGAGCTTTTTCTTCTCTCACGTTCCCTTCTGTGACCTTCACATGCTTGTTCAGTTGTTTTGTGGCAAGGTCTCGCGTGGTAGCCAGGAATGGCTCCTAAATTACAATCCTCCTGCTCCTGTTTTCAGAGTGCTGGAAATTATAGAAGTGTGCTACCAGACCTGGTGGATTATTCGGTTAATAATTTTTATTTTATTTTATTTTATTGCAGCATTGGGAATCAAACCCAGAGCCCTGCACATACAATGCAAGCTCTCTATCACCAAGTAACATCTCCAGCCCTTGGTTATTTGGGGTATTTGTTTATTTATTATTGTTTTGCCATGCTAGGGACTAAACCCAGAGCAACCTTCAAGCTGGGTAAGCCCACAACAGCTAAGTTACACCCCCAGTCCAGTCATTTAATTTTTTTGAGACAGGCTTTCTGTGTGTAACAGTCTTTGGTTATCTTGGAACTCTCTTTGTAGACCAGGCTGGCCTCGAACTCACAGAGATCCGCCTGCCTCTGCCTCCCGCGTGCTGGGATTAAAGGCATGCGCCACCACTGCCCAGACTCAGTCACTTAACTTTAAAACTACTTTAACGAATGAAACTGAAGATGCAAACAATGTCTTTGTGAGAATTTACAGTGTTGTTGAAGAGCATAAACTACGCCTCGCCACCCACTCGTTAAGTTCCCTAGGTTGTTTAGAATCAGCTGTTCTTCAAAAACACAGATTTGCATAAATATTAGACAAAGAACAAAGAGAGATTGTAAGATGCTACAGAGACCGGCTCTTAGTTTATACTTTTATTTTATTTTTAAGACAAGGTTTCTCTTTCCTGTAGCCCTGACAGTCCTGGAACTTGCTAGGTAGACCAGGCTGGTCTCAAACTCCCAGAGATCCACCTGCTTCTTCCTCTGAGCACTGAGATTAAAGGTGTATGCTACTACACCTATCTTATACTTTTCTTTCTAACCTTCCCCAACCCCAGGGCAGAGTTTTGTCCATAAAAGAACAACCAAGTAAATCACCGAATGTACAGAATTGCACAATAGAAAAGTTCAACAAGTGTGTAAGGGCCTGATGACTGAGATGGCAGGCAACAGGAAAGCCAAAAGGCTGCCTGCAGACTGAACTCAACCCCCCCCCCCCACGATGCTTATTCCACTGTCTTCACCAGGCTTTGCACAGAGGTTGCAGCACACTCTTCCCTGGGCTCAAGCTTCCTGTATTGTACTAGAGATTCTTCTGAAAAATTCTTTCTAGAGTGAAGTTTCATCCTTGCAGCCAACTCATCTTCCTGTTCCAGCAGTGTCCTCTGAGATTGGAACATTCCATCCTGCAGGAAAACAGATTATGATGGGAAGTAAATGACTCAAAATAGCTTCAGGAAGTCCCTAAAACTGATCAGATTCACTAAGCCCCTCCTCCAAGAGGATATCAACAGGAAAGACTGATCAGCCTCATTTCCAGATGAGCTGAGCTACAAAGAAGACTCTCAGATGAACTGAGGTGCTTGGAAGAAGCTCAGTCCATGCTTGGAAGAAGCAGAGATAGGACAAACAGTCTAAGAGAAGTAGAGACCACCTGAACTGTGTAGAGGAAATAGACAGGTAAAACTGCCAGATGCTACAGGATAATGCTCTCATAGGATAATGTCTGTAAAGATATGTCACTTGTATTGGTTTAAAAAAAAATGCTGATTGGCCAGTAGCCAGGCAGGAAGTATAAGGGGACCAGACTAGGAGAATTCTGGAAGAGGAAAGGCTCTGTCTGCAATCATCACCCAGACACAGAGGACACAAGAATGAAAATGCTACACTGAGAAAAGGTATCAAGCCATATGGCTAAACATAGATAAGAATTATGGGTTAATTTAAGCCGTAAGAGCTAGTTAGTAATAAGCCTGAGCTAATAGGCCAAACAGCTTATAATTAATATAAGCCCTTGTGTGTTTCTTTGGGACTGACTAGTTGCGGGACCAGGTGGTATAGAAACCTCCGACTAAAGCCAGAAGAGGGTCAGACCAGTTTAGCTATCAGAAAAGACACTCCCCAACTTGTTGAGCTATCGGCAGGTATGTTCCAGGTTTCTAGCTTTCATGAGCTGGGGAAAGCTTTTGTGTTACAGCCATATTTGAGTTACTTCTGCTCCTGTAAGTAACCCCTCACCCATATTCCTGTAACTAACCCCAATAAAACCTACTGGTTCACCAAATTAGATATTGATACAATCATTACTGTTGTAGGCTCCTTTTCTGGCGTGAGTAGATGTGCAAGCATGCATGCATGCATGTGTGTGTGTGTGTATGTGTGCACATGTATGTGTGTTGTTTTTCCCCAGGTAAAGTTTGTAATACACACACACTCTACATCAAGGACTATTTAACTCTCCTACTTCCTTAAAATGTAGATAAATTACACCCTTTACTCCATTTCTGGCTTCTTCTCTTCTCCCAAGAAAGCAATCATTTTGGCAACTTCCCTTTCAGTAATTCAGAAGCCACCAACAGAAGACGGATATACACGGTGAATTCCACTCAAGTTTTCTTCTCTTGTGATACTGAGGAATGACCTTAGGGTGTCTTACGTGTTCAGCAAGCGCTCTACCACTTAGCTGTGTCTCCAGCCCAAGCTTTCTTCTTCTAAATGTCTGAGCAGAAGCCAGCCACATGTTGCAACCTGTGACACATTCTGCTGAAGATATAATACGCTCAATGACACCTGGAACCACAGGAATTTTCCTTCATCTATTCTTAGTAGCAGTCCATCAGTCAGGACTCCTTTATTTACACAGCTTGTGTTTTCCTGGCCCCCTGTCCTTTGTCCAGCTCCCTCGACGGTGGAGCCATTAGAACATGTTGATGTAACTTTTGTCCCATCATACATAGTTCCTGAAGCTGGAGCCCTGAAGTCTGACCTTCTGATATAACAGGGCTTGGCACTGGCTGGGTCCATTCTCCCCATGTGGACAGGGGAGTCTACAAGGGGATCCTCCTGGAAAAGTCAGCTCCAAATTTCATTTTGTTTCCTAAGACCATTTCTGGAAGTTGATTTGATTCGAGAAACAATCTTACATTGAAAGCGTAAGTGACTTCCCAAGAGGCTACACCTCAGGGATGTCATAGTGGATTCTCTTTTCAGACCCACAGTGATATTCTGTGGAGAGGGAGATACTGAAGTACAGGTGCTGATTAAATTATACATGTCTACCAATAGCTTTCAATTGAAATCAGATGCTATTTGAATGGATGCTTACCTATCCCGAATGAGATATTGCTAGAATTCTTTTCCTTGTCAGGGATTACAGTTATCAAAAGATCTCGGAAGAGGCAAGAAATCAGTGTGAGAACTCCAGTTTGAGGCTAGTGGTAGAAGATTGTCTTAATTAAGATTATTATTGCTGTGAAGTAACTTTTATAAAGGAAAACATTTAATTGGGACTGGGTTACAGTTCAGAGGTGTAGTCCATTATCACCATGGTGGGACATGGTGGCGTGCAGACAGACATGGGACTGGAGAAGCAGCTGAAAGTTCTACAGCTTAGCCACAGGCAACGGGAAGTGAACTGAGTACCACACTGGGAGTAGCTTGAGAATATGAGCCATCGAAGTCACCCCTACAGTGACATGCTTCCTCCAACAAGGCCATACCTCCTAACAGTGCCACTCCCTATAGGTCAAGCATTCAAACACATGAGTTCATAGGGACCATACCTATTCAAACCACCACAAATATGGTGGACCAAGAAATTAATTTTGGAAGAACTGAACTTATTCATTGATTTGACAAATACATATTGGGTACTGACTATAATCAGTGAATAAAATTAGACTACTGCTTAACCAAAGCAGCATGAGTTATTAGGAGTACAGTTATGGGGGCTCAGGAACCATCCAGGGAAAAATGAAAATTGCTTGTAAAAAGGGATTTTATGTGTAGGTCAAGCTTGAATCTTTTATCAGTGAAATTCCAGTATCCAAGTTTTGAAAATTAATTTATTCTTTGACAAGTATATAATACATTCTGCTCATATCCCTTCACCCTCTCTTACCTCTTGCTAATGCCCAGCCAAATCCCACTTTCCTCCTACCAAGTCCCCACCCCACTTTCTCTTTCTGTTTTGTTCTTTTCACCTCATGACTCTACTGGGTTTAACCAGGGCCACTTGTGTGTTGCCATCCACTGAGAAATGAGTAACCCCACTCATCAGTGGCTACATCATTGAAGACAATGCCTTTGCTCCTCCAGCATCTCTGAAGATCATTTTAGCTCCCATAGTCAAACAGGGCTCCATGACCCCCCCCCCATCAATGGCTTAATATTTACTGGTTTAGTTTTAGGAGCTTTATGCAGGCAGCCACAGTTGTGAGTTCGTGAGTATCACGATACGCCATGTCCTTAAGACAGCATTTCACAGTCTTCATTTGCATCACTTAACATTTACATTCTTTCTGTCCCCCCTTTGTGATGCTCCCTAAACCTTGGTGGGGTGATTTGACTGTCTTTAGTGTTCAACACACAATAGCCAATAATTCTCAGCACCAAGACCAGCCATGAATTTCTGCATTAACTGCCATTCTCTTCAAAGAAAAGATTTTTTTTTTTTTGATCAAGGGACTTGTAAACATAACTATCCAAGAGATATTTTGAAAACATGTCTAAATAGCGAGGCAAAATTAGTAAGGTGGCCCAGGGACTATAACTTCCCCAGTCAGGCACCTTTGACCAGTACCAGGCATGAGTTCTCTTCTGTAGAACAGGCGTCAGATAAAAAACAATCAGTGTGTTTCCCCCATGACAGTCATCCTCTATTGAACCAAGAACTATCTCTTGCTGGTCCAATACCTAGCTATCTGCTGTTTGTTTTTTATTTTTGCTGCAGGGTTTCATTGCATAGCTTTCGCTGGCCTCGAACTCAAAGACTTCTGCTTGTCTCTGCCTTCTGCGTATGAAACTTAAAGTATGTGCCACTACAGCTGTCTCCAACACCTAACTTTTGAGACCAAGGGCTATAAAACTGACCTAGACCCTGAAAGACTGGATATTGAATGTGAGTTGAATTCTACGAAAAATTACCACAAGGAAACACTAACTAAAGTAGGTCTAGAAAAGGTTAAAGTAACGCCGTGTTTAGGCTTACCATTGCTGTAATGAAACATCATGGCCGAAAGAAAGTTGGGGAGGAAAGGGTTTGTTTGGCTTACACTTCCATATCACTGCTCATCAATGAAGGAAGTCAGGACAGGAACTGAAGCAGGGCTGGAATCTGAAGGCAGGAGCTGATGCAGAGGCCATGGTCGGTGCTGCTTACTGGCTTGCTCATCATGGCATGCTCAGCCTGCTGTCTTATAGCACTGAGGACCATTAGTCCAGGGATGGCCCCACGCACAATGGGCTGAGTCCTCCTCCATTGATCACTAATTGAGAAAATGCCTTACAGCCAGATCATATCATATCATTTTCTTAATTGGAGCTCCCTCTTTTCAGATAACATTGGTTTGTTTCAAGTTGAAATGCAGCTAGCCAGCACATTCCAAAAATAGAATAAAGCAAGAAAATTTAAAAGTATTATTTGTAAATTTGTTTACAAATAAATTAATGTAAAAATTGGGAGTAAAATCACAAGGAGCTTGGCTCTTCTGGGCCGAGGGGAGGTGTGGAACGACACTGTGAATGAATCGCTTATGACCAGGCTTCCCAAAATTTTATCTACGTTTTTGCTGCTTGTTAAAAAGGACCTCCCACCTGTGCTCAGAATGCTTTTTGAAGGAGCACCTCCCACAGTTTCAGTGAAGTACAGTTTGAGACCTCAAGTTTATACTGACTAACAGATTTCTGAGAATACATAAATGCTAAAAAGTTCAGAACACAATTCACCACTGCATGTTTAAGAGAGGATGGGTAGGAGGAAGAAAGGGAAAAAGAGAAATAGACAGGGAGGGGGAGAGAGAAGAGAGAGAGTCAGTCTAGGGATCAAAGCTAGAGCCCTGAGTGCTCTAAGCACAGGCTGCACCACTGGCTCCAATTCACAATATTATAGTTTGCTATTAATTTACTAATTTTATTTTGATTAATTTCCTCCCCCATCTCCCACTCTTTCAAGGGTTTGCAGAGCTTGCTCTCAAAGTGCAAACAGTTTACCTGTATTTAAAATAACTTACACACAACGAGACAACATTAGCACTCTGAGTGGGAAGCGGGGATATCTGTGAAATCTGAATAGACATGGAGGTTTACAATGACAGGACCTGGCTCAGTTTCCTCTGATAACTGGTGCGCCTCCCACCCTCACTCCGCCTTGGGGAGCGCCAGCGGGGTCTGTTCTTCTGCCACCCTTGATCTGGCTGTGTGCTATTTCTCATGTTGAATTCTCATGAAAATATAGAATGTATAAGGAGTAAAAGAAAAACTCTAACCTTCCTCTAATATCCTTGAAATGCAGACGTCTGAGCAAAACTGAAAACAGTCTTCCTCAAGCCAGCTGGTTTTACTGACGTGCCTAGAAAATAGTAGAAAGCAAATGACAGTCTTGATGAGTAGTAGGCAGACTCTTCCTGTAGAAAAGACACTTCCTGCTGATGCTGTCGCGTGCCGAGACACAGCGAGATCTCCACTATGATCACAAAACTTTATTGAACACCTACTATGTGCTGGGTGAAGTTCATGAAAGTTCTCACTTTTCCGTCTTTGAAAGTCTGCAGGAAAAGCAGGGCTTGGTGGCTCACACATCTAACCAAGGGTTTGGAAGGCAGAGGCAAGGAGATTGTTGGGAATTTGAAGCCTGGGCTACAGTGTGACACTCTCTCTCAAAACAAAGCTAGGACATCTCCAGGATGGATATCTCAGCTTTAGAAGTCTATCCTTAGAAGAGCAGAAGGATTCTTTTAGTAGCAATGGCTTCTTTTCTGCTGTGTTAGGTTCTTGGAGGCTCCTCTTTTAGTTCCCTATTATAGGAAATAAAAGCAAAGGAGGCTATCAAAGGTATTAACCTTTATTTTTCCTGGTCGAAGGGAACGATGGAAACACAAACCACAACTAAGGTGGCATTGCTAAAGGCTCAGAGAAAGAATCCCAATGAAAGTATTTGGTACAGGAGTTCAGAGTAGGAAACAAAGGAGAACAAATTGGAAAGAGGAAAAGCAACACAGGTTGGGCTACTGGAGCTGTCCATCCAAACAACAGTCAGAATTTGAAACAAAATAGTAGTCCACACGGGACCGCATTCACAAAGGCGCGTCACTGAGCCCAGCCGCTAAGAGATGGTCCTGAGGAATGGGACATGATGGAGGTCTGGAATCGAAGTGACTGAAAATGTTTGCACTGATGGCATCTTAAATCCAGAGGAAATGGTTGACGGGAGAGTGGGGTGGACCTGGATGACTCTGGTTTGGTCTAAGGAGCGTGAAGTGAGGCTTGTATTTATGCCTGACAGAAGGCAAGTCACTGATGCTGTAGGCCTTTCTGGCTGGGATGTGCCCTGCCTCCCCACTGGCTTTCACAAACAGCCCCAGGCTGACTAGATCCACATGTGAAGTTAACCCCTAAACAGCCACCGTGAAGTAGTAGCCTGTTAGCTATAAAAATTTCGGGGGAAGGCTTTGCAATGAAAGGGGCTTTGTGACAGCGGGCCCAGTTCTGCTTCGACAATAGACCAGGCAGCCATGCAATCTGTCTTCCTCCTGTCCTTAGTGAAAAGCTAATCCCTTGCTGAGTTGAAGAGGGTGTCCAGGACTCACTAGCCAATCCCCCAAATGGAGGTGTTGATCATCAGCAATGGGCCCAGCAGTCCCTTAAGGAATAGCTGAGCTTAAGGTATAAGCCACAACTTCAAAGAACAGTAAGCACCCTCCCTACGAAGGTAAGTGTGACTTCATATTTCTATTGCCATTATGTCACTGTTGTCTGTTGCAATGGGGTTTCATTTTTAAATAATATGGATTTGTCTTATTGAGGAAATGAAACACATTTGTATCAAAAAATGGTAAATCAGGAGACAATGACATAATTTCTATTTTAAAGACAGTTACAAAATGCCTGTTCCTTTTTTACTTACAATTTAAGCTTTTATTGAAAATAGATTTTTTATATGCTATATTCTGATCAGGGTTAATACAGACAACTAAAAAACAAGCAAAATCATAATAAGACAAAACAAACAAACAAACTGAAAAAAAAAGGGGGCCAAGGAAAAGCACAAGATGCTGTTTTAAAAACCAAGTCAAACATAGAGGAAACTATTGAATGCCTATACACATTAATTACTTTTCTCTTTGTTGTGATAAAATTCCAACAAAAACAACTTAAGGAAGGAAGGACTTGCTTTGCACAACCTCGCCTGTTGAGGGTGCACAGTCCACCATGAAGGCAGGGGCATGAGGCAGTTGGCCCCATTGCTTCACTTCCACAGGAAGTGAAGAGAGACGGCTGCTGGTACCTACACCTCCTCTTATTTCCTCTTTTCTGTAGCATGGGGCCCCAGTCCAGGGAATGGCACCACCCACATTCAGGGTGGATCTTTCCTCCTTAGTTAAATGTCTCTTAGTCAAAACACCTTCACAGAACATGTGTAGAAGTATGTGTCAGGGCTAAAGTTATGTTTTAAATTTAAATTACTATGCCTAAGAGATCTATAAAACAAAATTGCCTCTAACCTGTAAGCCCTTCACTTGTGCAAGGACAGAAAATTTCCTGAAATGCTGGTGGCTGTTCACGTAACAAGCTGTGTTTTCACTTCTATAAACAAGGCTGGTTGCCCCAAAGTCACAGGATATGTTTGATCATATATAGGCAGGAAGTATGTCAGGATGCATGCTTGCTCCTGATTGGACAAAGGCAGGAAGTCCATAGCCTTGTGGGTTTTACATTTTTAAGCTCCTGACTAACATAATTCAGAACCATTCTCTGGAAATCCTGGGTATAGACCTAGTCAGTATCCATCATCCTGGCCAGTATTTTATAAAGCTTGCTCCAAATTTGTTTCAAAATTTATGGTAGTGGTCTTATTCTTGCCTGATCCCAGGTGATTCCAAATTCAGTCAAATTGTAATGAAGATTACCCATCACCCCGTGTCAGTGCAGCCTGGTATGGGTGGTCCTTCTGTCTGTGTGTTACTTTTATTGGTTAATGAATAAAGAACTGCTTTGAGCCTATGGCAGGGAATACAGAACTAGGCAGGGAAGCTAGGCTGTTTGCTGGGAGAAAGAAGGGTGGAATCAGAGAGACACCATGTAGCCCTGCCAGAGACAGACGCTGGAGCTTTAGCCAGTTAGCCACAGCCACGTGGCCATACACAGATGGGTTAAATTAATACGTAAGAGTTAGCCAATAAGAAGCTAGAGCTAATGGGCCAAGCAGTGATTTAATTAATATAGTTTTTGTGTGATATTTCAGGTCTAAGCTTGCCGGGTAGCCAGGAACCAACAAGCGACCTTCCTCCAACAGCAGCCTGAATACAACTGCTTGTTTGCTTCAGTTTTTGTTTGTTTGTTTGTTTGTTTTTAATTTGAGAGGATCAGGATGGTGCTCAATGGCACTTACCTAGGAGGTTGAGTCCAAACCACATTATCTAAGAGAGAAATAGATAGACAGAGAGAGGGGGTGGAATAGAAAAAGTAGGGGATGAGGAGAGCAAGAGAAGCCATGTGAGCAAGCAAACAAGCAACTAAAGAAAATACAAGCTAGGAGTAGTGATTCATACTTGCAATTCCAGCACTTGAGAGGCTGAGGCAGAAGGATTGCCATGTGTTTGAAGGCAGCTTGTCCTGCAAAGTCTTTTCTTGACTCAAGAAAAGAAAGAAGAAAATAAAATGCGATTATATTTGATGTTCCCTGTCTACCTTTGCATTTTCTACCTTCTTTCCTAACTTCTTAGGGTAATTTTCACTCTGAAATTGTGTATTCTTTCTGTTTGTTCTTTATACTTTTACTATGTACCTAAACTCAATTTATAGTGTGTAATATTACTTTGTGTGTTTATAATTGCACACAAATGATGTCACAGTGTATTTATCAATGCTGTATACCACAATGTATTTATCTACTCTGCCACAGCTGGACACTGCTATTTCCAGTTTTCCCATGGGATGAATATTCTTGCATGTGTGCCTTTGTATGTGACTGCTTCACAGGAGGCCCTAGTAAATGTGGGATTATTTAACATTTACCTTAGAGATGGCCAACCCAAAATGCTCGCTCTAAGTGTTCCTTCCCCAGCATTCCTGACTCCTCAAACTTGTTAAATATTAACCTAGTGGGCATGTTGATTTTTATCCCTTGGTAACTGTTTCCACACTAGTTGGTTGTGTGAACCTATAAGAGTGCAACCTAAAAATGAGGTGGACTAAAGTCTCAAACAGTAGCCAACTTCACATAGGGTATCAGACAAGTTGTATCCTGTGGGTATTCTGAGGGTTAAGCAAGGACTTGGGCAAAGTTCACACAGGAGGTTAGGCTCAATACAGTCACCATCCTGGGTACAAACTGTACTAGGAACATTTTTGAATAACAAAGGTAAGATTATGGGTAATCTGGAGCAAACCCATTGCTGTTCACAGACACCTGGGAGGGGCAGGGACACACATTCCAGGAACAACCCAAGTTAGGGCAGGGAAGCACATTCCAGGAACAACCCCTGTTGTGGGGAAGCAAGGTGACAAGACTTTTGCCTTGGTCTCTGGAAGTTTTCTCACAAAATCTCAGACTTCATTCATGGGTCCTGTTCCCATGGTAACTAAAGAAGCTTCTTCCAACATATACAACTTCTCATCAGTCAGCTAGAAATCTGTTCCCCATCAGTTAACGAAGACAGTCTATAGTGGGGCAAGGGGTGGGGGATTGAAAGTCAGGCTGCGGAAATTAAAGCCAAGGCCACCTGCTCCTCCCAAAGCCTGAGCAATTCAAAATAACTTGGTATTACAGTCAACAGGAAGGTACAGATGGCTTGGAAAGTTTGCTTCAGAACTTTATAGACATGTGGAGGCGCACCTCCTAGGCGCCTATCAGATGACACGCCACTCACACAGAGAAGACAACACGAATCTTGAAGGATTAGCCTTAAAATGATAATGGAAACTCGAGCCTGAACCCAGAGTGGGATCAGGGCTCCTAGTTGTTTGTAATGACAGTTAAATGGTGGCTCCGGGGGGGAGGGGGGGCAATCTGTATTTGGTGGAAGTGAACAGGTTAAAACTTAAAGTCCACATTGTCAGTCTATGAAGTAAGAGATGTACTTCTGTGCTGGGGAAAGCAAGCCTAGCCTAGGGGAACCCAGCTCCACCATTTATTTCCTTTGAGACTCAGAGGATAGAAAGTAGCAATTGTTCCTAGAAGGGGAAAGGGTCTGTTAGAATTTAATACATTCCATTTTGCAACAAAATAACTAAGTAGCTACCACACTCCCAGAAGTACTAGGCTCAGCAGTAAAGAACTAGGCCAAGTCACAGCTGTTGAGAAGTTTCTATTCATACCTACCTGGCAGGGAAGACAGCAGGCCCACAAAGGTGGTTTCCCACGTGAGGCTTATCCATTGCACTCCAGACGTGCCGACCTTCAGTTTCCCCAAATGCGGGAAACTGCATAATTTGTGGTGGTGGGGGACTGCATTTGTGCTCTCCCCTGGAGGAACAAGTTCTCATTCTAGGGGCTAAGGATGTTTCTAGCATGCAGTAAGTCCAGAATTTGATCCCCACACGTCAGCATTAATGAGTGCACTATCCCAGGCTTGTACTTGCAGTGGTTAGAAGGTGGGGGCAAGAGGACCAGAAGTTCAAGATCATCCTCAGCTCTATGGAATAGGAGGCTAGTCTGCAATCATAAGACCCTGCTTGAATAACAAAATAAAATAAAAACCAAGAAGGTCGCGTTCTAAAGGAAGGTGACGAAGAATCAACAGATAATCCAACATACACTGAGCCGTGAATGAGAGTGGGGAAACTGACTCAGAGTAATGGATGAACAATAAAGGGGCGGGGCCAGCGACCGACGCTGCTCTCTCTGCTTGTTCATTCGCAGGCTGCCCTGGGAATTAGATTCTCAGAGTTACAGGGCTCTAACTTTCTTAAACCATGAACTGGGGGGAATCGTCATCATGTTGTGGATGGTTTTATTTGATTCACTCAAATTCAAGTTTCAACTGTCTTTCCAACTTTGGCTTGCTTGCAGCTTTACCCTCGAAGCACAACAGGGAGGGTGTAGGATTGAAAGACTGCTGGAAATGTGACTGACTTCACATTTATGGAAATTGTGAAAGCTGTCCAAAATGATAGGCTTTAGTGAAGGGGGGGAAGGATTTCATCAGAAACCATAGTGTAACTGTAGACAAACAACAAAAGCCACAGTGTATATATAGACACATAGTATACATGGACAAACGTATATATTAAGAGAGGCAGAGACCCCCAGAAGCCAGAACTGTAATTAGGTACTCGTTTTGCTCTGAAGCTGTGCCTAAGTTTCCCGTGTGTAAAACAATGCTAAGGGGAATCCAGCTCTCTCACTTTCTTTCTCCCACTATTTCACCTCCTACTTTTGTTTCACAGAGCAGAAATACCAGCTGTTTCCTTCATTTCCGATTCTGTTTTCTCTTAATCTGATGTTGAGCTCTAACCACTTCCATTTTTTTAGATATAGAGTTCTCCATTGCAGTAAAGTTTAGCTCTGGTTTCTTCTTTCAATCCTTCTTTTTCTGTAACAGAAGAAAAATCAGAAAAATTTGACAACACCACATCTCCCCATCTTTTGAAAAAAACCTTGGTTATCTTTCAAAGTTTTTTCGTGCCTCATGCTTAAAGGTAACAATAAGCCACTGTTTTGGATAGACTTGTTCAAATGATCAATAATGCTATCTCATTAGAAAGTCAAATAATTTTCTAAAGGTTTTGTTTATGTTCATCTTATGTCTATGGGTGTTTTGCCTGCATGTAAGTCTGTATACAACATGTGTGTAGTTCCTGTAGAGGTCAGAAGGGGGCACCAGATCCCTTGGCACTAGAGCTACAGAAAGTTCTTAGTTGTAATGTGGGTGCTGGGAACTGAGCCTGCATCCTCTGTAATACAAGTGTCCTTAACTGCTCAGCCATCTCTCCAGCCCTTAAATCGTTTTTACAGGGAACAGATGTTAACGTTGTATGTTAAAATTCTGACACGAACATACTTTTGTCTCTCTATGTGGTTATTTTTTGAGTTGCAGGTTTTCCTAGGCTGAAGAAGGATGGAGAGTCTGAGGCTAGTCCCAGCCCATAACCAGATCCTATGCGGGAAAAAAACCAAAAGGCCAGACCTGTTGTTAGGAGACTAAGTTGGGGGGCATTTCAGGTACAAGGGGTGCCTGAGGAGGACAAGGCTAGACTGAACTACTAGACAGAACAATGAGACCCTGTCTCAGAGCAGACAATCAAAAAGGGGCTGGGATATAGCCCTGTGGTAGGGGCTTCCTTGCTTAAGGGAGGTCTTAGTTTCAAACTTTAGTACCATAATAATTTGTTTTTAATTTCCAAGCATTTTCATTGACATTTCAACTTTTTAACAGAAGAGCTGTGTGTAAATTTAATTTGAAACACAATATTAACAAAAAATCCAGCTCCCTCATAATTCCAACTTTTTTTTTTTTTTTTCAAAAATTGGTTATTAGAGTTGGCTGTTGTGGCACATACCTATAATCCCAGCCTTTGGGAGACTGAGGCAGGAAGATCAAAAGTCAATCCTGACCTGAGCTACATAGGAAGGTCATGTCTCAAATACTAATCATAATTGATAGGTAAAAATTAGTAAGAAAAGGGCAGCTCCTCTGGCACAAGAAATCCAGTTAGGTAAAATCAAACCAAATCAAAATGCCCATCGCTTTATTATGAATGACGCTCTCCGGAGCCAGGACATCAGGGAGCCCATGCAGACTCAAAAACCACGAGTTTCTTCTCTGGAGTTCACTTAAATACCCTGTGGGAGTGGCCCTGACATCCTCCCCCTCCCCCAGGTGTCAGGACCTGGCATGCTGGGATTTGGAGTCCAGACCAATACATCTCCCAGGCCTGGGGGCTGGGATGGATGCCAGAGGCTGGAGGCTATGCTCCCAACTTAACAATAATCATAATAGTGATGATGATAATGGTTCGCAGCTCTTCAATGTCATTTTGAATATTGCAGCAAAGAAAGAACTCTCTTGCCTTACAAAAAGTGTCTGGGAGCCTAGTGGGTCCAGACACTTGCTGCCAAGCCTAACAATCTGAGGGCTACCTCCCAGCCCCCAAATGATGCTAGCAGAAAACCAATGTCACCGAACTGCCCTCTGACCTCCACACCCGCACCATGCACACAAGTGCCGTGTGCACATATATACATGCTAAATAAGCACGTGTTTGTAGGAAAGGAAACCTAAAGCAAAACAACAGCCAAGAAGCATTTTCTCCCCGCCCCCATGGTCTAGCCGCGTGGTGTTTGTTTGTTTGTTTGTTTTTGCTGTTCTCACAATGAAAGAAGGAGAAAACTGCCGTGCTGCCAGGCGTTTATCTGACTCTAAGGTTGAAGTCAGGCTTGAAAACAATAGTCCAGCATTCTGCAGGTGAGCTTCTTTCCTGACAGGTTTGTGTGGCGGTCTGTGAGATAGCACAGTGCACACAACGTGACGGAGATTGACTTCAGACACGGGAAGATAGGAGCCCGGCCTTAGGATTGCTTCTTAGCATTCAGTTCTCAGAGTGGCATCAGCTGTCACAGCCGCAGATCCTCCAGGGAGCTCATCAGGCAGCAGTCAGTGAACCTAGAACTGTAATCTCCTTTCTTACATCTTGGTGTTTATATTCTACCAGCAGCGGATTTCACTCTATCCAGCCTACCTGTGCCTTGTTGTCGTTTTGGTTTTATTTCTCTTTTACTTTTTTGGGGGGCCCACCACCCAACTCCCAAATAAATACAGAGTCTTATTTTTACATATGAATGCCCAGCCTTAGCTTGGCTTGTTTCTAGCCAGCTTTTGTTAAATTAAATTATCTTGTCTATCTTTTGCCTCTAGGCTTTTACTTTCTATATACCCTTTTTAAACTTCTTTTTAAAATTATTTTTATTGAGCTATACATTTTTCTCTGCTTCCCTCTCCTCCTCCCCATCCCCTTTTACCTTCTCCTGTGACCTCCATGTTCCCAATCTACTCAGGAGAGCTTGTCTTTTTCTCTTTCCTATGTAGATCCCTGTTTGTCTCTTTGATGGTTCTCTTTGTTGTTTAGGTTGTCTGCGGTTATGGGCTGTAGGTTGTTTTTTTCTTTGCTTTATGTCTAGAAGCCACTTATGAGTGAGTACATATTATATTTTTCTTCCTAGGTCTGAATTACCTCACTCAATGTTTTTTTTTTCTAGATCCATCCATTGGTGCAAATTTCAAAATGTCTTTTTTTTTTTTTTAACCACTGTGTAGTACTCATTTCTTTCCTTCTTACTCCATGGCTTACTATGTAGCTGGGTGGCTCCTTGGAGCTCTCTTCTCTCTCTTTTTTATTCTCTCTGCCTGGCAGCCCCTGCCTATCCTTTCTCCTGTCTAGCTATCGACTGTTTAGCTCTTTATTAGACCAATCAGGCATTTTAGACCAACAAAGTAAAACAGTTTTACAGAGTTAAACAAATGCAACATAAAAGAATGCAACATTTTTGCACCATTAAACAAATGTTTCACAGCATAAATGAATCTTTAACTAATATTCCACAACACCTGCAAACGTGTGTGATTGCTCTGTGAGTGCTGAGGTTCTTGGCCTGTCTGTAGGAAAGCAGCCCCCAGCCTGGTTACCGAGCTGGACTTCACAAAAGCTCCTCTTGCTTAACACCTGCTGTAGCCCCCCATCCAACACCAGCATCTCCACCTTGCTTGCTCTAATACATTTTATAACCTGCTCCAGAATTCACCTATGGTCAACTCCAGAACATTCTGCCATTTCATGCTCAATACCAAGAAGTACTGGGTGGTTGTGGTGGCCCTCCTATGCAATCCCCACACTTGGGAGGTTGAGGCTGTGGGATCAGGAGTTGGAGGACTAGCTTAGGGTCAGGGCAAGATCCTATCTCAAAAATAACAAATAACAAAACCACCCTGGCAAGTCTTTATGAGCTCTCAAAGGTTCTTCAATGGTCATACTCAGTGTTCTTGGTCTGACATTCAGAAAGTCCTCTACAATCTACAAGCTATTAACAGCTTCCCAGCTCCTCCTCAAGGCTGCCTCAGGTTCCAGCCCGTGTTCTCCCACCCCTGCCTGTCTCCTAGGAGAGGAGAGTCTCCACCCTGCTCTTGCCTATTCTTCAAACTCCACCTGACGCCACACTTTATCGTCTTCTCAGTCAGTACGTTGTAGTTCAGTGATTTCGCCCCAGCTCTAGATACAGAGACTGTGTACTTGTTGAGGCCCTAAGTCCTGTGCTCACATTCAAAACTGGTGTGAGCAGTCGTATTCGATAAACAGAAAAGCCTGAATTTTAGAGATCAACATGGCATCTCTTAAGACATGAAGAAGCAGGGCTACTAAACTGGCCTCTGGATGATCACCACTGCCATGGCTTCTGCTTCAAACTGTGGCCATTTCCCTCTCCGAGTTCCCATAACATTAGAAGCATCTACTTTTTGAGGAAGGAAAAATCCCTTTTATCACCTTCCAACCAGGTGAGATTGCAACGTCTCCAGGAAAAAAGTACCTCCTGCTCTCATCCAATGAGATTCAAGTCCAAAGAGATCTACACTCCTCGTGTCAATGTGACTCATAAACTAGCTTAGTTTCAGCCACACCGGTGGCTTGTTAAGAAACGCAAGTTCGGGAGCTTCAACCCGAGACTCTGAATTTCCAGTTTCAAGAGTTCACTGTATCTCCCAGAAAACGGCTGGCCGCCCTCTGTGGTTTTGCTTAATTAAAGGTGACCAGTGTCGCTAGACC